CCCCCCCCCCCCAAGAAATAATAGAAAATGATAATGTTTTCTTGGTGTACTGAAGAGAAGAGGCTCACACAAGGAGGGTGCCAGAGGTTTCTCATTTCTCAGGTCCTATCTGGCTGACCCAGGGGCCAAGGAGATCAATATCTTGGCAGACCTGTAATTAATATTTGAAACTGCCACAGAACACTGGGAAAGCTTCCTGTAAATAGTTTCAAGTGATTAGAATTACAAGGAATCTTAGCTATTAGATCCCTTATAATAAAATATAATTTTATTTACATGTTTATATATTTTATATAAATCATTTTATAAATTGATTATGTTTATATATTTTATTTATTTGTGCCTTCTCTTTTTCCCCCTAAATCCCCAGATCTTTGTCAATTTTATTAGTCTTTTCAAAGAACCAATTTTTTATTTTATTTTTATTTTTAGATATTTTTTAATTTTTCAGTTACAGTTGACATACAATATTATATTAGTTTTAGGTGTACAACATAGTGATTAGTAATTCATGCAACATGAAGTGATCATCCCAATAAATCTAGTACCCATCTGATACCATACATAGTTAGCTACAATATTATTGTCTATATTCCCTATGCCATATTTTACATCTCCATGACTGTTTTGTAACTACCAATTTGTACTTCTTAATCCCTTCCCCCTTTTCACCCATCCCTCTAACCCACTCCATTCTGGCAACCATCAGCACATTCTCTGTATCTATGAGTTTTTTTCTGTTTTGTTTGTTTATTTTGGTTTTTATATTCCACATGTAAGTGAAATCATATGACTTTTTTTTTTTTCTTTTTACTTATTTCACTCAGCACAATACCCTCTGGGTTCATCCATGTTGTTGGAGATGGCAAGATTTCATTTTTTAAAAATGTATATATGCACCACTTTTTTTTTTTTTAACATTTTATTAATATATCTTTATTGATTTCAGAGATAGCAAAGGAGAGGGAGAGAGAGAGATAGAAACATCAATGATGAGAGAGTCATTGATCAGCTGCAGCCTGCAATCCGGGCATGTGCCCTGATCGGGAATCAAACCCCGATCGCCTGGATCCTAGGTCGATGCTTAACCGCTGAGCCACGCCTGGTGGGGCTGCACCACTTCTTTATCCATCTTTTGATAGATCCTTAGGTTGCTTCCATATCTTGGCTATTGTAAATAATGCTGCAATGAACATATGGATGTATATGTCTTTTCAAATTATTGTTTTGGGTTTCTTTGGATAAATACCCAGAAGTAAAATTGCTGGGTCCTTCTTTGTTTATTGCTATAGGCTTTGGGTTAAAGTCTGTTTTGTCTGGTATAAGTATTGCTTCACCAGTTTTTGCTTTTTGTTATGATTTTCATGAAATATCTTTTTACATCCCTTTACTTTCAGTCTGCGTGTATTTTTTGAGCTGAAGTGAGTCTCTTATAGACAGCATATGTAAGGGTCTTGTTTTCTTTTTCTTTTCTTTTTTTTTAATATATCTATTGATTTCAGAGAGAGGAAAGGAGAGGGAGAGAAAGATAGAAACATCAGTGCATCAATGATGAGAGTCGTCATTGATCGGCTACCTCTTGCACGCCCCCAACTGGAGATTGAACCCGCAACCTAGGCATGTGCCCTGACCAGGAATCGAACTGCAATCTCCTAGATCCTAGGTCGACACTCAACTGCTGAGCCATGCCCGGCCGGGCAGGGTCTTGTTTTCTTATCCACTTAGCTACCCTACTTTTTATTGGAGCATTTAGTCCATTTACATTTAAAGTAATTATTGATAGAAATGTAGTTATTGCCATTTATTATTCATATTTTTATCTTCTCCCCTTTTTCTTCTTAAAGAAGTCCCTTTTTATATATTTTTTCCTGTAGAAAAGAAGTCCCCTTTTTAAAATTTTATTTTTCAATTACAGTTTATATTCAGTATTTTTTTTGTGTTAGTTTCAGGTGTATAGCAGAGTGGTTAGGCAATCACATATTTTACAAAGTGTTCCCCCAATATTTCCAGTACCCACCTGGCACCATACATAATTATAACATTATTGACTGTATTCCTTATGCTGTATGTTACAACTTGTGACTATTTTACAACTACCAATTTGTACTTCTTAATCCCTTCACCTTTTTCAATCAGCCCCCAGCCTCCCTCCCCTCTTTCAACCCTCAGTCTGTTCTCTGTATCTATGAGTCTCTTTCTGTGTTGTTTGTTCATTTATATAGTTCTTTTAGATTCCACATATAAGTGAAATTATATGCTATTTGTCTTTCTCTGTCTGATTTAGTTCACTTACTATAATATCCTTTAGATTCTTTTATGCTGTCCTCTTTTAGTCATTTAAAGTAATTGTTGAATGATATGTACTCATTGCTGTTTTATTCATATTTTTAATCTTTTTTTCTTCTTCTTAAAGAATACCCTTTAACATTTCTGTTATACTGGTTTGATATTGATGTACTCTTTTAGCCGTTTCTTGTCTGGGAAGCTCTTTATTTATTCTTTGATTCTAATTGATAGCTTTGCTGAGTAGAGTAATCTTGGTTGTAGGTCCTTGCTTTTCATTGCTTTGAAAATTTCGTGCTAATCCCTTCTGGCCTGCAAAGTTTCTATTGAGAAATCAGCTGATAGTCTTATGGGAGTGCCCTTTTAGGTAACTGTCTTTCTCTTGCTGCTTTTAAGATTCTCTCTTTGTCTTTAACCATGGGCATTTTAATTATGATATGTCTTGGTATAGGCCTTTATGGGTTCATCTTGTTTGGGTCTCTGTGCTTTCTGGACACATTCCAGGGCTCCCTGCCCTTCCCAAAGAAAAGAGAACTCTCCCTGGCGTTTTCTCTGGAATCAGTTGCATTACTACACTGGAGAAAGGCACATTCTTAAGCGTTAAGGTGTTTCTTGGCTTTCCTATAGGCTAAGTATAATTCTAGGGGATCAAAGCAAAGTCTAGTTTTTGCCAGCAAAAGTCATTGTTTCGGTAGAGAGTTCATCAGTATTGTGTATATGCCAAGTCTTGAGTTTCTGTTCAAATTTAGGAGCTAGCTTATGATAGTAGAAAGAATTTTATTTCATTTTCTTCATCTGCAAAATAAGGAGTAATTGATTAAAGAAAGTTCTTTTAAAGTCTGAAATTATAGCCAGGGTAATAATAGTTTTATTGAGATATAATTCACATCCCATACAACACATTCATTTAAAATGTACAATTCAGTGGTTTTTAGTATAGTCACAGAGTTGTGCAGCTATCACCAGAATCAATTTTAGAGCATTTCATCATCCCCAAAGGAAAGTACCCATGAGCAGTCATTTCCCATTTCCCCTCAACCACTAATCTACCAGCCCTAGGTAACCACTAATCTACTTTTTGTCTCCATAGATTTGCCTAGTCTGGACATTTTTAATAAATATGAGGTGTTTTGTTTCTATTTTTTTCCACTTAGCATGATGTTTTCAAGGGGAATTCGTATTATAGCATATATTAGCACTTCATTTCTTTTGTTGTCAAATAATATTTTGCCGTGTACCATATTTGATCTTTTCATTAATTGTTGGACATATGGGTTGTTTCCACTTTAGCTATTATGACTAATGCTACTATGAACATTCGTGTATAAGTTTTTGTGTGAACATAAGTATACCTAGGAGTAGAATTGCTGGGTCAGATTGGTAACTATGTTTAATCTTCTGAGGAACTGCCAAACTCTTTTCCAAAGCAGCTGCATCATTTTACATTCCTATCATCAAGCAATGTATGAGGGTTCCAATTTCTCTATATCTTCTCTTACACTTATTATCTTATTATTATGACAATAATAATAGTGGTTGTGAAGTGGTATCTCACTGTGGTTTTGACTTGCATTACCCTGATGGTTAATGATCTTGAGTATCTTTTCATGTGCTTACTAAGGCTACCTCTTTGACTGGCTGACTTTTCTTGTCTTTTTTTTTTTTTTTAAATACATCTTTATTGATTTCAGAGAGAGGAAGGGAGAGAGATAGAAACATCAGTGGTGAGAGTGTCATTGATTGGCTTCCTCCTGCACACCCCCTCCTGGGGACCACATGTGCCCTGACCGGGAATGGAACCACAATCTCCTGGATCCTAGGTCAATGCTCAACCGCTGAGCCACGCCAGCCGGGCTGACTTTTCATTTGGATGGGGATGTAATATGATAGGAAGTTGATCTACTTAGCTCTTTCCCTAAAGTGTCAATTAAGTTTTCTGAAGTCTCAGTCAAATAAGCAGTCTCTTCTCACTCCTGGTAGAGAGTAAACCAAAGCCTTAATTTAACCCACACACCTGTTTTCACCTTCTTTATTTCTGTAAAATGTAACAACAAAGAATTTTACTGGAAGTTAGTACGATTTATGTCTTAATTAGAATTGTTACCTGTTTTGGGATGGGAAACAGCTTTCGTTGATAGATCTCTAACACTGAAGGCTCAGCGATTGTTTCAGTCTTCAAATGATCATGAATAAGACTAAAACATAGAAAATAATATTGCTACACAAAGGCAAGAATGAAGCAGAGCTGAGAATCTAGTAGAAAACCTTTTCACATTTATAGTAACCCCATTTCCCTTATATCATAAAGTTAATGTAGATGTGTAAGGATTGTTTTTTAAAGGAGTATATTGAACATAGGTCATGTATCCTTAAAGTGGTTAGTTTGAAATGACACTCTTGTTAGTAGGAACTTAATTTATTAAGTTAAGAATATTTAGTTTCAGTAGAGCTTTTGCTCTTAAAAATGTTAATTGTTGCAGTCTACATTTGACCTTATTATATTATATTAGTTTAGTCAGATTTACTGTAATGTTGTTGTTTTCTCCATTCTAGAAATACATGCTACAGGATTTAACTATCAGAATGAAGATGAAAAAGTCACCTTGTCTTTTCCTAGTACTCTCCAACCAGGTAAGAGATGTGGCTTTTGTAAAGACCCGTGATGAATAGTGTCATCGTAAACTTCTTCCAAAGAAATTTATTGTATGCCATTTTCCCCCTCATGTTTTAAGCAGATTAAAGTCAGGTTCATTGGAACTTTTGGACCACCGGGGGGAAAAAAAGAGAGAGAGAAAAAAAGACCCAAAACTAATGCTCCTTCTACCCTAGAGCATAATGCATTGTTTTTCACCTTTTCAGTTTCAGCTTTTTTTATTAATCTTTATTATTGAAATTATTACAGATGTCCCCTATTTTTTCCCATACATCCCCCTTCTCCCCACTCCCGCCCCCTCCCTAGGCCTTCACTTACTGACTTCCATTTTACTAATTGAATCCAAATCTCTGAGATGAATATCCCACAGATGATTTTGATGTGCAACTGGAAACTAGATAGATATTATGTTAGTTAGGGCTTGGAAGGAAAGATTTGTTGATATGTTACTATTATTAGGTATAAAACCACAAAGAAAATAGATGACTTTCCAAGCTTAAAATAGTGGAAAAAATTATATACAGATCTGTTGGTAAAGCACTAGACTTTGATTAATAATCAAATGAAAAGCAACAGATAATTCATATGAAAGAAAATGCAAATGACCAATAAACATGTGAAAAGATATTTAGCTTCCTAATAATGAGAAATAGCAAAACAACAGCTACTGATATATCAGTTTTTGCCTGTCCTATAAGCTGAATTTTAAAAAAAGATTCTTGATGATGTGATGGCTTTGATATTAGTGGTTGGAGTGTAAATCCATGTAATTTGGAAGTAGTCTGGTAGTATGTATTAAGAGACTAAACATGTTCATGCCTTTTGACTCAGCAATTCTGATAATAGGATTATCCTAAAGAAAAATCATAAATATGGGAAAGTCTTTATGCCTAGAAATGTCTACTGAGACATTACTTAAGGTAGTAAACAATTGGAATTAATGTGTTTGTCCAAAACTAAGGAAATAATAAGCTATGACATCTTATGACATATCTGTATGGTAGAATATATATAGCAATTAAAAGTGAGGTTTGTGAATTCTTAACACTGTAAAGTGCTTATTACAATGTAAAATTAAAAAGCAGAATACAAAATTACATATACAGGGTGATGAATCATATCTCTGAAATGGTACAAAATTATATGTCTGGTTGTTGACATAATTGATGATTTTTATTCTAGTTTATACCTTTCTCTGGTTCCCGTATTTTAAAACAGAATATATTGCCTTAATATAAAAGTATTTTTAGAAAAAATTTTAATTGGACAAGTTGTCTTTTATTCAGGGCTCTTCATGACCTTTCATTTTGCCTTTATCTAACTAGGATTATTTGTATGAAATTATTATAAAAATAAATAAAATAATGAAGCCATTCCTTCAGAGTTATGAAAATCTAATTTTCAACCTAGAATTCCTTGCTTAGCCAAACTGAATTTAAAGAGGGTAAAATAGCCCTGGCCAGTGGGACTCAGTTGGTTGAGCATCATCAGTTGGTTGAGAGGTTGTCGGTTCGATTTCCAGTCAGGGCACAAGACTGGGTTGTGGGCTTGATCCTTGGTAGGGGGTGTGCAGGAGGCAGCCCATCAGTGTTCTGCTTTCACATCGATGTTTCTCTCTCCCTCTCCTTTCCTCTCTCTCTAAAAGTCAATTTAAAAAAAATATTTAAAAAGAAGGCTCTAATAAAAAAGGAGAGGAAGGGTAAAATAAAGATATTTTCAGATTTGTAAGGGGAGAGAAAATCTAATTCTTTGAAAAGATATAGGAGTGGGAGATGTAGTTTAGCCAAAACTTCACTTTCAGTAGTTAGAAGAAAATAAATTGTAAAATTGAACAATGATGAAATAGCTATATAAGCAAGGTACTTAGAAATCAGAGTTGCTACTGGGGGCAGTGTGAGGAGTAGGGTACCACTGGGCAGGAGTCTGCACGTTATATATGTAAGCCTATAGTACTATATGAGTTTTAAGCTATGAACTATTACTTTGATAGAAATAAAATAAAATCTTTTAAAAATTTAAAATCTTTATCATTATGGGCTACATTCTATGTTCAGATTGTGAAAAGATTAAAGTCAGTCGCAAAAGAGAAAATTGCTTCTCATATATTTGGGAAAAATTAAATCTCTGAAAATTAATGAATCAAAGAATTGTTATGGAAATTAGAAAATTTTTAGAACTGAATAATGAAATTACTACGTATCAAAACATATGGGGTGGAGGTAAAACATTACTCAGAGAAGATATTTAGCTAAGAAGAAAGACTAAAAATTAATTTACTAAGCATCAAGATAAAAGTTAGACAAAAAGGCTCTGCTAAGCATGGCTCAGCGGTTGAGCATCGACCTAGGATCCAGGAGATCAAGGTTCAATTCTAGGCCAGGACACATGCCCGGGTTGCGGGCCCAATCCCCAGTCGGGGGCCTGCAGGAGGCAGCTGATCAATGACTCTCTCATCATTGATGTTTCTCTCTCTCTCTCTCTCCCCCTCTTCCTTCCTTTCTCTGAAATCAATAAAGATATATTTTTTAAAAAGACAAAAAGAACAGGTAACTTCAAAAAAGTAGAATAGTAAAATAAAGATTTAAGAGCAGAAATTAAATAAAAAATGAGAGAAGCAAAAATATTTAAAAACTGGTTTTTAAAATAGTCCAAGAAGACAGCAAAACCTAAGATGTATAGAAAAAAGATACCATAGATTCAGTTGTTGTTTAGCATTGGGAAATATGACACCACCATTTATTAAATTGAAAAAGTTAAATATACTGTATTTATCAAAAGAAGCCAGATGTATGTGTTAGAGTTTACCAGGTAAGAATAGACAGAAACTCCTAGATAATGTGTGTGTGTGTACGTGCATATGTATATATACGTACAATATATGCAAGTATCTGTTGCATGCTTAATCTTTGCCAGATACTGTCATATGTGCCTCACAAATACTAATTTATTTAAATCCTTTTTTGAGATGTATTCTATTACCTCCACTTTACAGATAAAGATACTAAGGCACAAAGATGGTTTAAATAACTTAGAACTTGCTCAAGGTCAGCAGCTAGTAAGTGGCAGAGCCTGAATTTGAACTCAAGCAGTATATAATATATGGATGTGGTTTGAAATTCAAATGATATATAGTGAAAATTTGTTTGCCATTATATCCCTGTCGTCATCTCTCAGCTCCACTCCTCAGAAGCAACCAGTTTCCTATATATTCTTTCAAAACTATACCATGCTTTTACAAACATTTGTGTAAATACTATTTAAAAAACATAGAAGTTAGCATGTCACACATAATATTCTGCATCCTAGGTAAGGACTATTAACAGACATGGTAAATTATGAAGTCATTTCTAATAAGAGAAGGAACAAGCCAGGAAAGGTTATGACCTTTTACATACTATAATTTGACAGAGTTTTGGAGATTTTAAGCTAATATAAATAGGTAACCTATACAAATTAAAATTTTAAAAGTATCTTATTCATAGATGTGACTATATTGAAATACTGTCTATAAATATTTGTTTGAAAATCATTGGCCTTCACATTTTCCCAAGATTCTCTCAAAGTTACCCATCTCATTCTTTGCTTTAAGAATGAAGTCCTTATTTTTTCCAAAAAAAAATTTTTTTTAATCCTCACCAGTGGATATTTTTTCCGTTGCTTTTCAGAGAGAGTAGGGGGGAGAGATTGATGTGAGAGAGACATCAATTGGTTACCCCCCACACATGCCCAGATCGGGGCCAGGGATCGAGCCTGCAACCGAGGTATGCACCGCCCTTGGCCAGAATTGAACCCAGGACTCTTCAGTCCGAGGGCCAGTGCTCTAACCACTGAGCCAAACCAGCTAGGGCTCAAAATTTTATAGGTTGTACAAGAAGTCTATATTCTGGTAATGGAGTAAATATTGAACATATATTAAAAGGAAATTTTAACCTTTGTGTTTAGCCTCATCCAGCTTAATAGTTATATTCTTAATAGCTGAGTAAAATATCTTTTCTGAAATTGGCACCATTCTAGAATAGTGGTTAAGTTGCTGTAATCTTTGTAAGACCTAACAACCTCAGAATCAGCGGTTAAGGATACTGTAGAGTGGCATTTATTTGGAGAACCACTAGAAGATATTAACATTTTGAAGGATCATAAGAAATGATGACACAAAGGCAAAGACCTTTACTCCCTTTTTCTATAATCTGTCTTTGATTTTATGGCATTTAGTAGGCTCATTAAATTTGTATTAAAGTACTTTAAGATCTACTTCAGTTTTTACAGTTATATTCTCCTAAATGTTAAACAATTAAATTTTTTTGGTGGAAGTCCCCATTTTTCAGTTGTTTAATTTATAAATGAGCTCATTGTATATTTTAAAAGGGTTATCACCCCAAGCAGGTAAATATTGGATATAAAAATATTGTATATAATTTGAGGAAGCATTGTAAATTATATGTGCAAATAGGTATAAAAATTAGACAACCTGGCAATCAGTTCTTCAATATGGTGTAAATTTGATAAGTGAAATTAATCAAAAAGTTCTCTTTTCTCCTGTTCTTGGCCTAAAATTCTACTACATTAATAGTAAATACTTTGTAATTAATATTGTACAGTGTGACACTAATTAAATTTATTAATGACTTTTTTTTTAATTTTTAACTTGTGTTTTGTTTGAATTTCAGGTAATAACCCTTCCTAATACTTTGTATTTTGTTTAGTATGCCACTTTTGGAAGTGGTCACTGTCAATATCTTGTTATGGTTTGATGACCTTGGAGATTTAAAACCGAGTAAAAGTGTAAGCAGCCTTTCTTATTTAGTTATGAGTTTTATTCCAAATAGGAAGAGTTGAAAGTAGATTTACCATGGAATATGAGTTATATAAAAGACACCTTAACAGTTAACTTAGTGAAAACGAACTTAGCAATTCTACTTGTGGAGTTGTAACATAAAAGGGAGTGGGTTTTAATAATCTATTAGATATTCCTTGTAAACTTTATTAATGTCCATATATCTGCTTTAAAAAAAAAAAAATCAGTGAATTCCTAGAGAAAAAAGAGAAATTTTATAGTTTATAGTTAAATTCTTTAACAGTCATTTAAAACTCTTTCAGATTCTTTTACTAACTTCACATTTACTGTCCCAATAATCTGTCATTCTCTTTAAAAGAAAAAAGTATTCATTGTCCCCTTCAGACATAATGTCTGATTTTTAAAAAATAATCACAAATGTCTATTCAATTGAGCTTCAATTGAGTTGTTTTGTTTTCCCAGCATGATAACTTTAAGAATGTGGCACTCGCTTTAGTGATGACTTTGATGTAAAGGTCTGAAATTTTCACTTGAAATTACTTTCAGAACCAGTCTGTGGTACATAAGAAAATCAGCAGTTTAAGTACTTCATAAATGCACTTAGTGTTTTGTCTGTTCATCATTCACTTATTCCGTAGACTTGGGACTCTATGACTTTTGGATCTTTATGAAAAGCAAATTCAATTTTGGAAGATGAAGATTTGACTTTGTGAACATCCAAGAGGATATGTTTGAAAGGGAGAGAGAGACAAGAGCATTTTGAACATTGTCAGTGTTGTTCCAAAATGACAATTTAAAACTTTAGGATATAAAAGTTTGGGTATGGTTGACTAATTACTTTATAGTTCTACTATACCTTTGATTCGTTACACTTCCATACTCTTGATCCTGTTGTATATACGTACTTTAAAAGGATCATTTACAAAGTCAACATTTTTCTGGGTTTTTGTGTGACTTGATTTGTAAAATGTAGGATGGGAATATTGTTTTCTCATACATCTGAGTTTAGTAGATGGCTACTAGATAATAGTTTCTTTTATGAAAAAAAGTATATATACTCACAAAAAATCCCACTTTGTCTAAATTAGTTTTGCTCGTGTACAACAATAGAATATATTCAGGTTGAATAAATACTCATTTTTATTCATATTTAATAATTATTGAATATCAGATTTTTAAATGATTGAGGCAGCTGTAAGATTTTTTTATGCCCTTTTGATGATTAAATCATTGGTATTTCCTGTAGTTCCTTACAAAAGTATGGAATCAGTGTTCCATTTAGAGTGAGCAGATAGTGTCTTGTCTTAATGATAGAGGTAGTGACATGAATTCGTCTAAAATTTACATGGTAAAATTGGCAGAGAGCATGAATTTTGGATTAGGCAAGTCTAAGTTTTTATCTCATTTTTGCTACTTAACTAATTGTGTGACCTTGGACAAGTTATTTAACTTTTCAGCCTCAGTTTCCTCATCTGAAAAAGGGAGACAATACCTACTTCAAAGTTTATAAATACTTTTAAAACAGAATAGCGTGTTGTACATTTAATAATAAATGTTCCTTTCCTGTTTTTATCTTCATGTATTGGTAATTGAGACTAAGTTTATAAAGTTGAAGAACTTTCTAAGCAGTTACCCACCCTAAACGTGACTTTAAGGTTTACTTTAGAATTAGTCTACCTTGTACTTTAGTAAATACTGTATTCTCTCCATTTCTAGGAGGAGTACTTGAGAAAGGAAGGATTGATTTAAACATTGTAAATAGCCAGCCAAATTAGTGCCTTAAGGATATATTTTTGATAACTTGTACTTAACACTTCCCTAAAAGTGGTTTTCATTTATCTTCAACCAGGTACAGGAACCTTAAAGATAGATTTTGTTGGAGAGCTGAATGACAAAATGAAAGGTTTCTATAGAAGTAAATATACTACCCCTTCTGGAGAGGTACGCTATGCTGCTGTTACACAGTTCGAGGTACGGTATTCTTTTCTGAACTATTATGATCTTAAATTAGATAGTTCGACAAAGGTCCATTCTATTATTTGTGTGATTATTTGATACTCGGTGCCTTTGGCCATAATTATATTTATGATTTTAGATTTTTATTTTATATTCAGCCAATTCTTTTCTTTATGAGAGGGAGGGAAACAGCATTATTATTCATTTAGTAGGAAAAGCCACAGGTCAAATACTAAGAGGATAATTTTAATTCAGAAAGGTATAAAAGCAATTCAGGTATTGAAAATGTATTATCTGCATGTATTTGTGTACGTGTGTACACATTCTGAGCTCTTTAGGAACATAGTTAACAATGGGTGTAGCTCTAGTGTCTATCACTCAAATGTGCCTTTGATTGCTTTCATCACTTAGTCCTTTGCATATTTTAGAAACCTTTAAATTTTGTTACACATATCATTCATTTAATTTCCTCTACTATAAATTTATTTCTGTACTGCTTCTACTCCTAATTTAAGTTTTCCTGTACTACTATTTCTTTTCTTACACTCTACTTACTTTTCAAATGTCTTATTTATTCTTCGATAGAATTTATAATTTAACTTTTTGAGAGTGCAATCAGCCATCTAACATTTTTCCTCTGAGAAACCCTTTTTCAGAAGTATGTGCTTCCTCTACCTCTGTATATTTTGTTACTTCTTTTCATGACAGAATATTGTCATTAGTTCTGTTTTTTCTATTTTGTTTTGTTTTATTTAATTCCTTTCTTTTGTAACTGCTATACTACTGAACCACTAAATTTTATTTTGGTTTAACAAGTGTGCTCTGTTTTTACTTTTAAAGAAAGAATCAGGTCTCTCTAAGTAGGTCAAGTGGTGACAGTTTTATGTGTAGTATATGGAAATACTGTTAAACAAATTACCTGCTTAGAATTGATGGAGCATCTTGTCTTATTCCCATTGCTACCACTCCAGATAAAGAACAAAGTACATCAAAGATTCTGAAAATATTTTTATTTTTGAAATAAAAGCCAGAGAGGCAACCTATCATATTTTCCCAGTTCTGAATCCTTACAGTGTACTGTTGACTTCTCTATGCTCTGTGTTGCGTTAACATTATTGATGAATCCATTTGCTTTTAATTTTTGAAATATTTTTATTAAAAAATATAATTATAGCCCTGGCTGTGGCTCAGTTGGTTGGAGCGTTGTCCCATACACCAAAAGGTTTTGGGTTTGATTCCTGGTCAGGGCACATACCCAGGTTATAGATTCAGTCCCTGATCAAAATGCAAACAGGAGGCAACCAATCAATGTTTCTCTCTTCCTCCCTCTCTCTCTAAAAATCAATAAAAATATATATAATTATAAATTATTCTAATACTATAAACCAGTGATTTTCAACCTTTTTCATCTCATGGCACACATAAACTACTAAAATTCTGTGTCAACACCAAAAAATACATTTTTGCCAATCTGACAAAATAGGTATAATTTTTATTCATTCACACAGGACAGCTATTGTGTTGGCTGTTAACATTTCTTTATTTGACAATCTGAGGAAAAAGAAGTCAGTGCCCTTGACTGAATAGTCAGGTATTGCATGTTTTAAAAATTCTTGTGGCACACTGGTTGAAAACCAGTGCTATAAATTGTTTCAATCTGTAGCAGATCTAGTTTCTTACAATGTGGCAATGATAGCCTTGTGTTTATTTGTAGTCAGTTCCTAGCTTGTTGCCTGGCACTGAGTAGAAAGTAAACATTTGAACAAGTGAATGAATGATAGAAAGAGAGAGAGAGAGATGGCGGTTACTTCATAAAATAGACTATTAGGTTAATTCAGTGATATTTACATTTCATATATTCTTTTTTTGAGGCTACTGATGCTCGGAGGGCATTTCCTTGCTGGGATGAACCTGCCATCAAAGCCACTTTTGATATCTCGTTGGTTGTTCCTAAAGACAGAGTAGCTTTATCAAACATGGTATGTATGTATTAGTAAGTATATTTAAATTTTGAATTTTAGCATATTTTAGTTTACTAATTAGATGGGGTAGCATGAAACCACCTAACACAGTTCTTGATACATAATAGGAACACAGATGTTTTTCTTTCCAGTAAGCCCTCTTTTTCCTAATTGCCTTATTTGGAAAGTTTTCCACCTCATGGGAGAAATTCCTTGTAAACCATGTTAACAAGATTATCTGCTCCTTTGAATTTAGAAACCTAAATAAGTGATGAATTTATAAATATGACCTGAAAGAAAAAAAATCTGACTTTTTAAAAATTGAATTTATTGGGGTGACATTAGTTAATTAAATTATATAGGTTTCAGGTGTACAACTCTATAATACATCATCTGTATATTGTATTGTGTGTTCACTACAGTAAAAAATCTGACTTTCTTATTAAATATCAAAAGATATAACCACATAATAAATTGTATTCAGGTTTTTGGCTGATTGTATTTTTGGAATATGCATTGATCTCATTTATAAAGTAAGCACTCACCACTTGAAATGTATTGTCTAGGGCTGCCTTAAGACATAGAGTAGCCTATAGCTTATAATATGAATCTGGGGAACTTGGAAAAGACTACTGCGCCTGAAAATAACTGGATTTTTCCTCCTTTATTGGGGGAAAGGTTTCCACAGATAAAGTGCTATTCTCCTCAAGTATTCTTAGAGAGGAGACTAATATATTAAACTAAAATATTCATTTACAATTTAGTATGAATTTATCAAGTCTGTTCTTGAATAAGTCTTCCTTGGAAGAAAGAATAGAGAGACCTTGAGGACACTGAGAGCCTGAATAGGAAAAAGAGGGAGAACAGCAAAGGGAAATTAGGGACTCCAAAGGTAAAGCGGAGATTTTTCACAAATTTGCTTAGAGGTAGTCTTGGTACAGAGAATGCTCTAAATCTAGAAATCTGTACCCTTTGAAATGTAAATTTCACAATTACATTTTCTTTTTATTAATAATTATTGTCTCTTGTCCTTATTTCACTTAAAAAATATTGAGGTTTGTCTTAAAACATCCAAGTGCCCGGTATATAATAGCTATTCAAAAAAAGTTGTTTCTTTTTACTCACAAATCCTTGGTAGTTTTAACACTTTAGCCTCGAACTTCATAGTGTGAGTACATGATCAAATCATGCATTCCTTCTTAATAGGAAAGATTTTGACAGCACAAAAACTCTGGATGAGTTGGCATAGATGAGTTCTGGAAAGGGGGAAGGAGAGGCAACAAAGCCTACAGTTTTGGGCTAGTGTTTGCTCTATATTTAATGTAAATCTGTTTAAAGTTTTTCTTTCTTTTTTTTTTTTTTTAAAGAATGTAATTGATCGGAAACCATATCCTGATGATGAAAATGTAGTGGAAGTGAAGTTTGCCCGCACACCTGTCATGTCAACGTATCTGGTGGCATTTGTAGTGGGTGAATATGACTTTGTAGAAACAAGGTCAAAAGATGGTGTGTGTGTCCGTGTTTACACCCCTGTTGGCAAAGCAGAGCAAGGAAAATTTGCGTTAGAGGTAAATGTACTTGAAGAGGATTGTTCCAACAGTCCATAACTCCAGGTTGGGGAATTTACATTTCTGATCAATTATTAGTACGTTTATTTATAATTTAATCTGAAATTTGTTGTGCTACTTTGGTTTTATTTGTAATAGAATTTTTGGACTACCAACCTTGCTGTCGCACTAACATTTTACGAGATAATGATTAAGAGAATATTGGAGTAGAATTTATTTATCCAGAGAATGAGTGGGAAAATATGTAATTACATTTTTCGTGCCGAGTTATAACTAAAGTTTAGCCAACATATACAAAGCTTGGGGCTAACACAGTCTTTGAATGTAGGGCCCCTGGGATTGAGTCCTAGTATAACTTGAGATAATTTGGCTTGCAACAGGATTCCTTTGTGGATTTCTATATGAATTACAATAAAATATTTATCAGATGGTTTTTTTGTTTATACTTTTATAGGTTGCTGCTAAAACCCTGCCTTTTTATAAGGACTACTTCAATGTTCCTTATCCTCTACCTAAAATCGATCTCATTGCTATTGCAGACTTTGCAGCTGGTAAAGTAAATTTCATTTTATTGCTGAATTGTAATAACTTTTTTGAATTTTGTGATTTTTGAGGAAGAAGTATGTATATATATCAATAAATGTTTATATTTATTTTATGAAGGTGCCATGGAGAACTGGGGCCTTGTTACTTATAGGTATGTTAATGATGCATTACCCTGCCTTATCTTTTCAATCACTGATTTCGTAAGAGCTTCACTCCTGATCACAGTTGAGTATCTTGTACTTTATGATCTACCATAAATTTTCCTACATCCCCTCACTTCCAGGCACATTTCAGAAATGTGGATGAATACCCTCTGGTGCTACTGAGAGTATAAGATTGTAAAGTGAGCATCTGGCATTAGTAACATTTTTAGATATGTTTTTGACTCAGTTTCTCACTTCGGTGCCTTCTATTCCTCCTAGTAGTTTCATAGTTATTTATCCAGCTCAAAGAATCTTCCCTGATTTAATATTTTCTAGCCAGGTTTTTATGTGTCTGTCACCACAGTATAAACATGTGGGTTGTATAATTTTTGAAGCAGATTCTATAAACAGGTTTTTGCCCTCTACTTGCAATGCCTTCTTCAATGAGCTAAGTTTTAGACAACCTGCTTAGTGTTCTTTTTGGGACTGTAGAATGCATCTTCTCCCCACTTGACACTCCCATTCTTTTAATGGAAAAACTGTCTTTTATTTAGCACAAATAATCCCTAAATCCCTTAGACAAAGTTTTTCTAAAATTTCAGGCAGCTGTCCTGTCAATAAATTGATAATTAAACTTGTGTCATAGCTTTATCTTCTGTTGTAGGAATTCTACTGATACAGTCTTTAATCTTTCTGGAACTTTTTTTATCCTGTATACTCTAAGGAAATGTTTTCTTGGCATCTCTTAAAGCCTAATTTGACCATCTTAATTACTATCTGAATCTCCCTCCCCTACTTGTGCATGCTTTTATTGCAGTACTTTTATTGTTTAATTCTTTTTTTTTCTTTTCTTTTTTAACACAGGGAGACTGCATTGCTTATTGATTCAAAAAACTCCTGTTCTTCATCACGCCAGTGGGTTGCTCTGGTTGTGGGACATGAGCTCGCCCATCAATGGTTTGGAAATCTTGTTACTATGGTATTTAATATTTTTAAGTGCTCAAATATATTTATCTTCATCCTGCTGCACATTATTTTGGCTACATGGTATTTCAGAAATGCCTGGAACATTGTGCCAAAAAAAATTGAATGAAAAACTTTTATTTCAAAAGGTCCACATTGAAAAGTGTTTATCATAAGCTCTGTGTTGATCAAGAGCATGTAGATAATCTTTTTTCAACAGAAAATACTTCCTAATCTGTTCTAGAATTTGCCTGCTAATGGGGGAAGTCATGATACTAATTTAGGCAAGAGAATGAGATTCCTCTTAGGTGGAAAGATTCCATGCAATGAGATTCTAGGTTAACTGTAGTTTCCTTAGTCATATTTATTATATAGTTCACTAGCTGAAAAGAAACCTGATAATTGCACGGTAATATTCTGTTAGGCCCGGCCGGGCGTGGCTCAGCGGTTGAGCGTCGACCTAGGATCCAGGAGATCGGGGTTCGATTCCCGGTCAGGGCACATGCCCGGGTTGCGGGCTTGATCAATGACTCTCTTATCATTGATGTTTCTGTCTCTCTCTCCCTTTCCCTTCCTCTCTCTGAAATCAATAAAGATATATTTTAAAAAAAAATATATATATATATATACACACACACACACATATATATATATATATATATATTCTATTAGGTTGAAATGTTTTTAGGGGTCAGTTTTTTTCATTGCCTAAAATGTTATGTTGAAATTTGATAGAAATTCAAGCAAAGAAACTTCAGACTTAGTGTAAAGTATATTTAAATCTCTACTGGCTCATTGAAATCCTTGTTTACTATGATGTTTGTAGCGAATGATCATTGTCCTTTAGTCTTTTTTTTTTTTTTTTTTTTTTTTTTTTTTTTAGA